AGTAAGTACAGATAGGGTTGTTATATAACACAGTGAGTCTAAACAATGTAACAACCTCTAACAGAAAAACTCAAATGGCAACAGCAGCTTATAAAAAAGCCGAAATAGTACTCAGCTGTAACCCTAGGTATATCTAAATAGGAGGCACTGTATAATATACTTTCTAAATAGTAATATTAGTTAAGGAACCCTTACTTACAAAAAAAAAAAAATAGATGACAGATCTATTAGTGATATCCAGAAATCGAAAGGATAGTAAGATGGGTAGTAAAGAAAACTGATATAGAAAGTAAACAGCAAGCAGGAGGTAAATCCTCCACTGTAATTCTCTAAAGTAAGAGTATATATGCCCCAATAATGCTCGTTGACCGGCCGGTCATATGTAAATATGGGTACAGCTAACGTACAAAAGAGTGTGTGTAAAATAGTATAACACACATGTCCGCTTCAAATATTGCCCATCGCGCGTTTCAGCGTGTAAACCGCCTTTTTCAAAATCTACGGTGTATCGAGAGGTCCATAATGCCCGCGCATGTGCGCGGACTTAGAAAAGGAGTCTCCTTTTTCTAAGTCCGCGCGCATGCGCGGGCATTATGGACCTCTCGATACACCGTAGATTTTTCCTGGCGAGGAGGAATGAATAGACGCCCCCTTTTCGTGGGCGAACGGTGAGGATTGGCCTTTATTCTTTAGGAGGAGGAGTTACTCGCTCTTTTAAGGAGTAAGTTTGAGCGGGGGATTTGTACAGGATGCCCTTGAAAAAGGCGGTTTACCCACCGAAACGCGCGTTGGGCAATATTTGATGCGGACATGTGTGTTATACTATTTTACACACACTCTTTTGTACGTTAGCTGTACCCATATTTACATATGACCGGCCGGTCAACGAGCATTATTGGGGCATATATACTCTTACTTTAGAGAATTACAGTGGAGGATTTACCTCCTGCTTGCTGTTTACTTTCTATATCAGTTTTCTTTACTACCCATCTTACTATCCTTTCGATTTCTGGATATCACTAATAGATCTGTCATCTATTTTTTTTTTTTTGTAAGTAAGGGTTCCTTAACTAATATTACTATTTAGAAAGTATATTATACAGTGCCTCCTATTTAGATATACCTAGGGTTACAGCTGAGTACTATTTCGGCTTTTTTATAAGCTGCTGTTGCCATTTGAGTTTTTCTGTTAGAGGTTGTTACATTGTTTAGACTCACTGTGTTATATAACAACCCTATCTGTACTTACTATATTTAATGTGGTCTTGATGTCCTCAGCAGCTTTCTTTCAGCCGAGATTAGTCTGCACTTTTTATTCATTATTTTTTCTTTTGATTTGGATATTTAATAAAGGTTATTGTTATTTTCTACATATGTATTTTTATTTGATTATATCACACATATATTGTTAAATTGGGGGTAGTTCTAGTGGAGGATTTATATTTCCTTTTAGGGAATTTTTTCCTCTTACTATAGTTTATTCTATGCTGTTTTGTATATAGGGTTATGCCCGTTTTGCTACCCCCTTAGCCCTTCTTCGGTACTCCTAGTCAGAGTTTTTACATTGGTATACTCTGCCTAGTTGTACTTTATTTTGTTTACTGGCACATAGCATGGCAATTTATGTGATTCCTCAGGTCCAAGGACAGCCCCCTGTGGACCTGATGGAATACAGGTACAGTACAGACACATATCCAATCACAATACAGTGTATCATTTGAATTAGTACCCGCCCAGCTTGGAGATAATGAGGCCAACGGTTATACAATCTAATTATCTCCAAGCGCACCAAAGACCACGTTTTATTATGTCCCAGAAAACTGCATAAAAATCCATAACTTTTACATTAATAAAGACAAACCCCGCATTCTACCATTCATCTGAAGGCTCACGTTCGTGTAAATAAAACATGCGAATGGCGCTCTAATCCCACGAACAGAATGTACTGTTTCTGCCGTATGAAGTCCGTTCGGCATTTTGGAATTATTAGTCTTTGTTGGCGGCCATGTTTTCTGCTGTTTTAGCGAGCAGCGGGACTTCGTGTCTAACTCGTGGAACTAAACTCGGTATCAGTTCATGCGAAGTCCCGCTGTCTGGCTGGTAGTGGGCTCGTTCGGTAAGGGAATGAGGACCACCTGGGAGCAGGGTACTTGACCTGCGGTTAACCGCAAAAACCACAAGTTAACGAGCGCCACACGACCCGCTGTAGGGGGTCGTCGTTCGGTTGATAGTTCGGTATTTTCCCTTCGGTACTTTGGGTGCGAACGTCGATGCCCCCAGGCCTACCAATTACGTTGTGGTTAACCGCAAACCGCAGGCACCTGGGTGGTTAATGGCTGCCACACTCCGGGGCCGGGTGGTCGACCGTTCGGTAGTTTGTGGGGTGACGGGGTTAAGTGGCGGCACACGCCAGTTTGTGGGGGGTCCCCCGTTCGTACCACGAATGGAGCCTTCATAAGGGTTCGCATAATCCATTCGTGTGGTTTTCTGCTTAACTTATGCAGTGGCAAACAGTATCACTCGGTGAGTTAAAACAGCAACATAGTGATTTCCAGTCTTTTGTAACAATGCTCCCTCTTTGTGGAACACTCTGGCAGACACTGTCTGACCCCTTTTCGGGGCAGACTAAGGCTGTCCAGACTCGTGGGGTTAGGCTGGGCTGAGATCTGTTTGCCGGGATAATCCGTCGGCGTTGCCGTTCTGCTTCCCGGGTCGGTAGGTGATTGTGAAATTAAAGGGCTGCAGGGATAAGCTCCAGCGTAACAATCTGCCATTGTCCCCAGCGACCCGGTTGAGCCACACCAGCGGGTTATGGTCTGTAATCAGAGTGAACTCTTGTCCATACAAATAGGGGGTTAACTTCTTTAGTGCCCACACCAGAGCCAAACACTCCTTTTCTACCGCTGCATAGCTGACTTCGCGTGGTAGGAGTTTTCGACTGATGTAGGCAATCGGGTGTTCCTTCCCATCATCTCCTACTTGGCTGAGGACAGCTCCCAGCCCGAACATGGAAGCATCTGTATGGACAATAAAACGTCGATTAGGGGCTGGGGCAGCCAAGACAGGAGCATTAATCAACGCAGTTTTGAGGGCTTGGAAAGCCGTTTCACAGTGGGGAGACCACAGGACCTGTCGGGGAAGGTTTTTCTTTGTCAGGTCGGTCAGGGGTTTGGCAATGGCGCTATACTCCGGTACAAATTTTCTGTAGTGCCCAGCGGTACCCAGAAAAGCTAGTACTTGGGTCTTAGTGTGGGGAGTGGGCCAGTTGGCGACCGCTTCTATTTTGGCTGGCTCCAGTCGTTGCTTCCCACAGCCCACCCGGTGACCCAGGTACTGAACCTCCGCCATCCCAAAGTGACACTTCTCTGGCTTTAGAGTTAGGCCGGCGGCTCGGATCTGGTCCAGAACTATCCCCACATGAGCTAAGTGTTCCTCCCAGGTCTCGCTATGAATCGCTATGTCGTCCAGGTATGCGCAGGCAAACTCCTGGAAGCCATCAAGGAGTCTGTCCACCAAGCGTTGGAATGTGGCGGGGGCATTCTTCATCCCGAACGGCATGACCTTAAAGTGGTACAAACCGAACGGGGTGACGAAGGCCGACTTGGGGACAGCCTCCCTGGCCAGGGGGATTTGCCAGTAACCCTTACAGAGGTCAATGGTAGTTAGGTAGTTCCCCCTGGCTATGCGATCTAGTAGCTCATCCACCCTGGGCATGGGGTATGCATCGGTGACAGTTTTGTCATTGAGTTTCCGGTAGTCCACACAGAATCTGGTGGTGCCGTCCTTTTTGGGGACCAGGACCACCGGGGATGCCCAGGGGCTATCGGAAGCTTCAATGACCCCTAATCGCAGCATCTCATCTATTTCCTTTTTCATGCCTGTCCTTACTGCCTCCGGAATTCGGTAGGGAGCTTGTCTCAAAGGGTTTTGGCCGGGGGTATCTACTTGGTGAGTGGTCAGCTCCGTGTACCCTGGTTCTTGGGAGAACATGGCTTGTTTCTCCCGGAGCAGTTTGTGTAGCTGCTCCCTCTCAACTGGGCTGAGTCTGTCCCCAATCTGTACTTGGCTCACTATTTCAACCGGGGATTTAGGGGTTAATAAGTCGGGTATGGTTAACCATCTGCGTCCTCGTGCGCAGGGCTACATATGGCTGACACTTCCTCGGGTCTCTGCAAGTATTCCTTCAGCATGTTCACGTGAAATATCTTTCTTAAGTTTTCATCGTGACAGCTGGCAATTACGTAAGTGGTGTCCCCTCTCTTTTCCACTATCTGATAGGGACCCTGCCAGGCTGCTTGCAGCTTGTCCGTCTTAACTGGTTTTAGTACCATAACTTTCTGCCCGAGACAGAAGCTTCTTCGCCGTGCCCCCCGGTCGTACCAGACTTTCTGTCGCCCCTGGGCCGCCTGGAGGTTGGCCTGAACTGACTTAGCCAATTGCTCCATTCGGTCCCGGAGCTCCAGTACGTAAGGCACGATGGGGACCCCGGCGTTCTCGGTCTCTCCCTCCCAGTGCTCACGGATCAGGTTCAGGGGGCCCCGTACCTTGCGACCGTATAACAGCTCAAAGGGAGAGAACCCGGTGGTTTCCTGGGGCACTTCCCGGTAAGCGAACAGGAGGTGCGGCAGGAAACGTTCCCAGTCCCTATACTCCTGAGTAAAGGTTTTTAACATCTGCTTGAGGGTTCCGTTGAACCGCTCACATAACCCATTGGTCTGGGGGTGGTATGGGGAGCTAAGCAGGGATTTAATTTTGCAAACGTGCCAGAGCTGCTGGGTCAGCTCTGCCGTGAACTGTGATCCCCTGTCAGATAGGATCTCCCTAGGGAATCCTACCCGAGAGAATACCTGCACTAAGGCATTAGCCACTGTGTCTGCCTGGATATTAGATAAGGCCACAGCTTCGGGGTAGCGGGTAGCATAGTCCACTATGGTAAGAATGTATCTCTTGCCCGAGGGACTAGGGGTGGCCAGGGGCCCAACTAAGTCAATGGCTACCCGGCTAAACGGCTCGTCGATAATGGGCATGTTAACGAGGTGTGCCTTGGGGTGGTCTCCTCGTTTGCCTACCCGTTGGCACACCTCGCACGTATTACAATAGGACCTCACATCTGCATGTACTCCTGGCCAGAACAAAGTATGGGTAATACGGTGCAGGGTACGGGTTACTGCCAAGTGCCCGGCTAAGGGAATATCATGACCCACCCGGAGGATATCTCGCCTATACTTGTGGGGTATTACTAACTGTCTCCTCCAGTGGCCCTTCTTCTCTGTGTGTCGGTACAGTCGACCCTGTTCCCATGCAAACGTCTCCTGGTCTGATCCCCCAGTCCCTGTATCAGCCCTTTCTCTATATTTTTGGAGCGTCGGATCAGTTTTGGTCTCAGCCTCGAAGGCTGCAGGAGTGTCCCAGGGCAACGGGGTAGGAGGGGGGGTCACAGTCGGGTTAAGTCTTACCTGAGTCTCCCGCACTGGTGAAGGGTCTCGTGCTCGTCCAGCTTGTGCCCGGGTCGTCACCGGATGTGCCTCAGCGTTGTAGGAAGGGGCATAAGCTGAAGTCATAGGTCCCAGGTCGTTTCCCAGAAAAACTTCGGCTGGCAAATTATCCATAATTCCCACCCTCACAAGTCCTTGTCCCGCACCCCAATCCAAGTGTACCTTTGCTGTGGGTAGTTTATATATGTCCCCTCCAGCCACCCGGACAGCCACTGTGTCAGAAGAGCGTTTGTAGTCAGGGACTAACCGGCTTTGTACCAAGGTGATCGTGGCTCCGGTATCTCTTAACCCTTGTGTAGGACGACCCTCTAGCAGTACCTCTTGCCGGTGGTGTTGTCTATTGTCACTGGCGGCATACACAGGATTAGCTTCATGTAGGGGTCCAAGGTATTCTTCTAAAGGACTGTCTTGTTCCAGGCAAAACGCTGGAGCTGGACGGTTGTTTCCCGTTGGAGCGGAATTATAGTTCTGTGTGGGGTAATTGTTGTTGAGGGGGCAACTCGCTATCAGGTGCCCCGGGTTGCTTGCACTTATAACATGTGGGTCGGGAGCGTTCCTGAGGGTAGTGGCTGGGTGGTCCCGGGTACCGTGTAGGACCTGCGGGTACAGGGTTGCGAAACTCCGTTCGTGGAGTTGATCGGTATCCCTCTCTTGCTTCGGGGCGAGTTACCGTTCGGGCATTGTTGAACTCCTGTACTTGCGCATCCCGGTGTTCGTCTGCCAACCAGGCGGCTTCGTGTAGGTTAGCGGGACGCCGGTCTTTCAACCACTCCCGGTCTTTTTGTTCCAGACCCTCATAAAAATGTTCTAATAAGAAAAGTTCCAATATTTCCGCGGCCGTGACGGCCCGACACCCGGTAATCCAATGGGTAGCAGCTCTCCGCATACGGTGTGCCCATTCGGCATGTGTGTCATTTGCTTTTTTCTTCTTGCTGCGGAACTGCCTTCGGTAGGTGTCTGGGGTCACAGCGTACCGTTTCAGCAGCGTTTCTTTTACTGTGGTGTATTGGGCTACCTCTTCTGCGCTGAGGGTTCGGAAGGCTTCCATGGCCCGCCCAGTTAATTTTTCTGCCAGGATACGTGGCCACGCGGCGACGGGGATCTGATGCAGGGCACATTGTCTTTCAAAATCGGCCAAAAATTCGTCTATCCCCATCACATTCTCCGCGAACGGCTTGAATGCGGCGAACGGGATCTTTGGCTGTTCGGTAGTTTCTAGGGGGCCGCTGTGGCTATCAGCGGTCTTCATGCTCAGCTCGTGGGCTCTAGTCCGCTGTACGTCCGCCTCGGCTTCTGCCATTTGTTGCTGTATCAGCTCCACGGATGGGTTCGGTCCGTACAGAGGCAGCCTTTCTCGGACAAGCCTGGTCTTCTCATCGCTGCATGCTGCCGTCGGTTCTGCCATGGTGAAGCTTTGATCCAACTCGTTCAGGTCGGCAATCAATTCTCTCCTCGGCCGGTTACTTGCGTTCCCTCCACGGCTCTCGAGTATATCCTTTAACGTGGTACGCTTCAGCCTATTGTAGTTACTCTCCATCCGTCCTATATATCTCTTTCAGGAATCCCAGGATGATCCCGCCACTGCCACCAATTGTTACGATTGCCCCCGGTCTAGCAGGAGGGTTGATCGCTTAGATGTCCTGGTTCCCGCTGCAGAGAGTCGAACGGAGGTCTTTCGGTAGTAAACTGCAAATGTAGAATATCCCCAAGCACGATATAAGCATCAATATCCCGGATCCCTACAACATGAGTCGAGGCTGCAAGTTGAGGGTCAAAACGAACTGGCTTAGTTTGTGGGTGCGACCGTCGATGCCCCCAGGCCTACCAATTACTTTGTGGTTAACCGCAAACCGCAGGCACCTGGGTGGTTAATGGCTGCCACACTCCGGGGCCGGGTGGTCAACCGTTCGGTAGTTTGTGGGGTGACGGGGTTAAGTGGCGGCACACGCCAGTTTGTGGGCGGTCCCCCGTTCGTACCACGAATGGAGCCTTCATAAGGGTTCGCATAATCCATTCGTGTGGTTTTCTGCTTAACTTATGCAGTGGCAAACAGTATCACTCGGTGAGTTAAAACAGCAACATAGTGATTTCCAGTCTTTTGTAACAATTACCCGACGCAGTCCACACCCGCAGCGACCTAACCACACCTTTTAGCGGCAGAAATCACACGAACCATCATCCTGGCAACCCGTAGACCCGACAAGGGAGCATACACCAGCATAACCGACAGGCACCCGCACCTCCCTACACCCCCCCTCCCTTCCAGCCCCGCCTGCCCCCCAACACCCTACCCCACCACCGCGGGGGGACGTCCGGGGGGAGACAATACACAAGACCTCACAACCCGATCTCCCACTGACGCTGGTGATGGAGGAGTGCCCGGAAGCGTGGGGAGCATGACAGGAACTACCACACACTAACCCCCCGACCCTAACCCTCGGACTACCACCGCCCCGCGGACCGAACGGACCAAAGAGGCGCTACCTTCCCAAGACAGACACCCGCCTCGAGGCTAGACATCAGACTAGTATGACCCTGACTCAAGCGGCCCCTCAGAACTACACCGACCCAACCGAGGATGGAATACACCGCCGAGAACGCTTGGCCTCTACCACTTGCCCCCGGCCAACTGACAGTAATCCGACACATGTAAGGTGGGCACGCATAGAGGGAACACCTCTTCCCCCGTGTTTCACACCACCACTGACACCACCCCCCCTCCCCACTTCTCTTCTGAGCCCCCTCCCCTCCCAAACCCAACTGGACACGGTCACGCAACCACCAGCGAATAGGAGGCCAGAGATTAGGGGAATAGACAACACGCCCCTCCCCCCCTCCCATCCGACAGACCTAACGATCACGCACCCCAGTTCACCCCTTCCTAACATAAAAACAGTGCAAAGGGACACACATGTTGGACACGAAATACATCCAGAACCGCATATAATCAGTAGCCCGCAACACTATTACCACGGGTAACACAGTGAATACGCTAAGAGAACTACTGTAAACGATGTACCAACATGTTGTCTATCTGTTTGTAACAATATCTATGCACTACCGAAAATAAAGAATTTATTAAAAAAAACAACAAATAGTCTGAGTTCACATATATATATATATATATATATATATATATATATATATAAGCAGCCATTATACTGGTTAACTGGGGGGTTTTGTTACACCCCCATACAGCACAACCCCCCCCTCATACTGCACAGACCCCCCCCCTGTTAAAAACTGCCATTTGTAACTGGGATTTTATGTGACAAATTGCCCTGTGTCCTTGGCTTATGGAGAAGCCTAATTGCCAACCTCCTTCATCATAACTATGGCCCCTGGGAGATTGTACCCGTTTAAACCAGCATTTGGGCTTATGGACTTTTATCGTACGGTGCTGGCCCTTTAAAAACGTGTATGGCCATATTAAAACTTTTTGGACACTTTTTCTTCCCCTTTGAATCCCTGGGAATGTGTGGCTCTTCCCCTCCCCCTGCTCCATTGTTCTCCAGCAGGGCGTTGTCCCAGGGACACTGCCAGACCAGTGGGAACTGGTTTGGGCAGGAAAAGCCATGCTTGCAAGTGATAACAAAGGACTTTGACCTAACTTTTAAACCTCTGAACCTATTCAAGTGAATTTTGGATATGTTTTTCCCCAAGTTACACTGGTTAAATAATATAAGTTTTATGCATGTACGATGTAAACTCACAAAGTTATAAAAATGTATAAAAAGTGTAACTTTTAAGCTTGGAGATAATTGAGTAGATGCAGTAATTGACTCAATTATCTCATAAGGACAGGGGAGTAATATGATGGGTGTGTTTCTATTGTCCCATTGTGTCTGATTGGCTGCTGTACTTGCATGTATGTGTTGTAATGTGTTTATTAGTTGTTCTGAAAAACCCTGTGGGTGGTACTATGTGTGAAAAACCTGCTTAAAAGAAGGCCCTTTGGTGCCAAGTAATACAGTTCTTCTCCACCCTCAATCTAGAGTCCTGTCTCTTATTGAGGGAATTGCTATATCACTACAAGGGATTGCTATGCTCTGCATGCTCCCTTGGATAATCACTTTTTTTTTTTAAGAGCTTGTTCCTTTTTTCCCTCTCTTGGAGGAGAGGTTCACCCACTGGAGCCTGGAGTCCTCTTGTAGGTCCAGGGTGGGTAGGAGACGGCGAGACCCCAACCAAGCTACGGCGGCTCATGGGGTCTTCGGTGGTTGTGGTGTCTGGCAGAGCGCTTGGAGCCCTCTGGAAGCGCTAGGAGCATCCAGTAACAGAGGTACCTAGTCGGAGTGCCAGGCTATCCGTTACACCCCCAATACTGCACAGACCCCTTCCCATACTGCACAGACCCCACCCATAGTGCACAGACCCCCCCATACAGCACATAACCCCCAATCCTGCACAGACCCCCATACTGCACAGATCCCCCCATACTGCACAGATCCCCCATACCGCATACCCCCCCCAGCACAGACCCCCCCCCATACAGCCCAATCCTCCCATAAAGCACAGGCCAGCATAATTTGGGGACAAACATATCCAAAATTCACTTGAATCGGTTAAGTGGTTCAGGAAGACATATTTTGACCGAGGAGGAACAAAGCAGCCAGTTCCAACTGGTTTGGCAGTGTCCCTGGGACAACGCCCTGCTGGAGAACAAGAGGACAGGGGGAGGGGAAGAGGCACACCTTCCCCTGGATTCAAAGTGTCAGAAAAAGTGTCTCAAAAGTTTCAATA